GACTTCATTATGACCTTCTGTCACTTCTGGTGGTGGTGTGACTGTGCAGCTAGTTTTATAGAAGTGAGAAGCTCTGTGATTCTGTCATCTTCCTGAAATTTCCAGCTTTCAGGTTCCTTGGAGTTAAAAGGCTCATAAGTATGTCTACAAAAGGAAAAGTTTCAGAAAGTTTGCAGATGGCTCATTATAACATTATTATAATGACCCCTGACAGAGTATGAATAAAAGAGCTCTACTGTCTTAAGATCAGTAGTAATTGGTCACTTAAAACAGTGTTTACTATTAAGTCATTTGCCACTAAATATGTACAACTCTAATTTTCCACTTAGTTTTTTTTCCAAAGTCTTCAAATGATTATACATCTTCCTCAACCTTTACTGCAAAGATTTAAAACGAACTTTTTTTTCCTTAATGAATAAATATTCTTAACTTTTCCTCCCTTTTAATAATTTTAAGGAGAGACCATCCCTCATAGCTGCCATTGTTCCTTATATCTCTGTTTGGATGGACAGCTAGGCTACCTTTCCAGACTTTGAAACTTAGTGAGAAGCCTGTTTTTCACTTAGCCAATTTACCCTTCATGACTGTGTGTGATCTTATCATTCTGTATTTCCATTGATGTTATATTGTGATGTTGGCACTGTCACAGCTTGCTTGTAGTGATGTAGAAGCAGCACAGTTTTGTGTTTTGGGAGTGAGCAGCTGCTCAAAACCCTGTCGAAGACCAACCTTTTATCATCTGTTGTAAGGTGACTTACATTTTGCTAATGCACACAAGACAAGTTAGATGGAGTTGTTATTTTGATGTTTTTGAAGAGCCTCATAACATCATGTAGAAAACCTGTCACCCTGTCCTGGTTTCAGCTGGGATAGAGTTAACTGTCCTCCTAGCAGCTGGTACAGTGCAATGTTTTGAGTTCAGTATGTGAAGAATGTTGATAACACTGATGTTTTCAGTTGTTGCTCAGTAGTGTTTAGACTACAGTCAAGGATTTTTCAGCTTCTCATGCCCAGCCAGGGCACCTGACCCAAACTGGCCAACGGTGTATTCCATACCATGTGACGTCCCATCTAGTATAGGAACTGGGAAGTGGGGGGAATCGCCGCTCGGGGACTGGCTGGGTGTCGGTCAGCAGGTGGTAAGCAATTGCCCTGCACGTCATTTGTACATTCCAATCCTTTTATTACTACTGTTGTCATTTTATTAGTGTGATCATTATCATTATTAGTTTCTTCTTTTCTGTTCTATTAAACCATTCTTATCTCAACCCAGGAGTTTTACTTCTTTTCCTGATTTTCTCCCCCATCCCACTGGATGGGGGGGGAGTGAGTGAGCGGCTGCGTGGTGCTTAGTTGCTGGCTGGGGTTAAACCATGACACACCCAGAAAACCTGTAGAAAAACTGTCACGCAGTACATCTACACTCAGGATTATGTTGTAGTATCCCTGAAGCACTTACCATGGTGTACGTTTTTTGTTAAGGTGGAGTCACTTCAATCTTCTTTTTCCTATTGTTTAATTATCACTATTCCTGTTTGGTGTAAGCCCTGAAGTGGATTTGTGTTTCAGTGGTAGAACAAGGGCAGCAGTGGAAAATGGCACAGACTTGCTTTTTCTCTATGGGCTTATAATAAATGATCACATGCTTGATATGGAAGCTGGTTCTGTCTAGAATTTAAAATCATCTGACAAGAACCTGTAGAGCTTAATTTTCCTTAAACTGCTAAATGGAAATCTGAACATGGGGAGTGTCTGTGGAAGGGGCAGTAAATGAAGCACTTAGCAGCAGAGTACCTACAGATTCAGCAGCTAATAGATTGTTATCTGCCACAATCTAAAATCCTGAGACCAAATAAAATTCTAATTGTGGATTCTTATTCCTGTGTGCTGCTTGAGCAGTCTTTGCTAAATTGTTCTGCACATAATTTAATGTTCATCCTTTTAACTTTGAAGGCATATTGCCAAAGAATTACTCATACAGTTAAAGAAAAAAAAAAATCAGTGAGTGTAGCCCATAAATAAACTACACAGTCTTATTTCCCTTTCCAGGTTTTAAACAAATGATAAAGGGTATACTCTTCAAAAATGCATTTACCAAAAAGAATCCTTTCAAATCATTTCTCGTACATACAACTATGGCTTTTAATGACCCTTGCGGTAAGCTTGGTAAATCGCTTTCACTCTCTTTTAAGTGCATTTGTACTTCAGTGTTCTTACTGTAAATTCCATTGGTGTCTTTGGTCCCAATTGGTTGTGCTTAGCATTTTAGGGGGAAATAATGCATCAGAGTTGAAAAGCAATTTTATTAAAGTGAGAACCATCACAAGTGGTGTTTATTATAATTCATGTGATTTGAGAGTATACATGACAAGCAAGATATCATAATTACATGATTTGTTGCAAATTGTGGTAGACATTTACTTCAGGACACAGTGCTTTTCCTAATGATGAAGGACTCGTCGCTGGACAGCCATTTGTGCTTGGACTGAAAGTTAATTGATCTTGTTCACATTATTATACTGAGATGAGGTATTCACAGCATTATACATTTCTTTTATTGTGTCTTACATTTTACTATTCCTCTAAAAAGACACAATTACCGATTATGTTTTTGTGGCTAAATTTCAGGCAACTATTCCTAGAACCATGTAAGATACACCCAAAAGTGAATTTCAACGAACGATCCCTAAAATATCAGCCTTTCCTTTTAGGGGCTAAGCAGACATCCGATAAAAGTTTTCAGCACTTCTAGGTTCTGTAGGACTGGATTATCCTTTGCATTGGAAGGTGTTTCCCAATGTCTCAACAGAAAATCCCCTGCTGCAGTTTAACCCATTGCTATCTATAAAGCACAAAAATAATATATACTTCTTTTTGCAGCAACCCATTATGTATTTAGGCAGTTATCATATACTTCCTTTTATTGACTTCTCTTTCTTGGAAAACAATCCAAATTACAAATTCATAATTAGATGTGTCTCCTCAGCATTTTTGCAGAAGAAATGCTCCAAAGTAGTTCGCTGTGCTTCCATGTTGCTTGATGCTTGTCTGACTGCAGTGGTTGTTGGGAAACTTGAGACTTGTTCTACCATGTACTGAAAGACTAAATACATTTGAAGTCCTTACAGCCTCTTTGAGGTACCTCTTGTGTGATTATGAAAACAGGATAAGGAGATTTTCAGTGGTTACTTGCATAAGGATTTTGAATGTCAAAAAGGAAAAAAAATTGCTAGGTATGTGGGGTGCATTAGGATACAGAAGCAGCCCCTTCAGGTTGAGGGGTAATTGAATAAAAAGGAGAGAAGGCAACATCAGAGGGAGACTGCTGAGGATGTTTTGAAGAGGGGAAAGTGGAAGAGGTCAATATATTTGGGTAGGTTTGTTTAATGGTTTTATGCATTTTATATATATATGAGATTGAACTACAAAGTTCTGTAGTCTTGGTGGTTTTGGGGGGATACAAACCTGCATAAATGGAAGAACAGACAACATGCTTGGAATCAGTCTGATATCTCAAAAAACTTGAATAAACAGATGCTTGACAACTGATGCTACAAATATTATGAAAATACTGTGTGATTAATAAATATTATTGGCTTCATTGACTTTAATTTATGTGTAGGGGAGTTCTGCAGCACACTAATAAAAGTACTTATTTTATGGAGAGAAGAGTAGTAAAATAAAGGAAATCGTTTCCCTCCATTAAGTACATTGCAAGAATTTAAATATTCAAAATGGTTTTGAAGCATTAAGTAACACAGAGACAAAACATATGCTTTAATGAAAGTACTTATCTCACCTCTCTTGTGGAACACGTTTCTGTTTAAAAAAGATTAGTGCAAAAAGACAGTCATTCAGAAAGACAAAGCTTAAAACATTCCTAAAGCCTGCACATTTCTTGAGTGTTGTTGTAATTACTCCAAAACCACAAAAATGCTGCATATAGAGGAAGATGAAATAAAACTGCAATACAGAAATTCTATACTGGCTGAGATTAGGTGTTGCTTTCCAAAAGCTGCATAAAATTGAAGCCATTAGCTCATATTTGCATTTAAGCAGTGGAGTTGTAAAGCTAGACAGTTATAAAATTGTAAATTACAATCAGACAGGTAACATTACACATTATAGGAAGATGGCTCAGTTTGAATACAATGTTTGAGGAAACATTTTAAAAAAATATGAAGAGGTAGACTAATAAAGTATTGGACTGTTGAGATATATAGGCATTTGTGTCAGCGTACAGAAATTATGTTTGCAACTGGAAGCAGCCTTTTTTTTTCTTCCAGAAATTTACCATTAGAAGCTCCAAAACATGTTGATTCTAGTAACATAGAAACTCACAGTTTCTGTCATTTGTTTATAGGTATTTTTCAGTGCTTGCTATTGTTTACTGAGAAATCAAGAGGAATCAAAATTATACAAAAACGGTTATTAATACATGCTCAGATGACAAGTCTGGTTTTGGTTTTGGTTTGGTTTTGGTTTGGGTTTTTTTTCTTATGCTGTAGAAGTTTTTTTCTGAGAACATGGAATAAATGAGAACTTCAAGCATTTGCTTCCTCTAACATAATGGGGCTTTTAAGTTATCATCTAAATGACATGAACTGCTCTCAGGGAATCTAAGAGCATCACTCCCAGTGACAACAGTGCTTCCAGCAGTCTGAAGGAGTGAGGCAGGATAGGTGGGTGTCAATTGTAGGATGAAATGGTTTTGAAGTAGGGTATGCTCTTTTTTAATTCTGCCTAATGATGTCCAGTGGGGTGTGGGGCAGGGGCAGTTGGTATTTATGTAAGTACTGTCTAAGAATGCCATAGGTGTAGACCTTTGTCACAATCAAGTTAAAAATGAATAAATACATATATATTATGTGGGTTGTTTTTTTTTTTTTTACAATGTATATGATCATGTGCACAGTACTTCAGATTTATCAAGAAAACGTTGTTCGTCTTCAGACCTGCAAATAGAGTGATACTTTGCAATTGTCTTTTCTTTCCTATAGGCAGGTCAGCAAGGAGAACAGGCTAAGAGGACAAGAGCCAACGACAAAGAGAAAGAAAATAATTTTGTCAGGTAGGAGTAGTGGGGAAACGGGGACAAGAGTTCAAGCTGTACATGGAAATGAATGATAAACATGTTTGTAGATTACTGCACTCACAATTCCAGTTACAATCTAGTTTCCCACAAAGTTCTGATGCCAAAAAAAACCTGATAAAAGCATTCTCTAAAACTGGCTTCACCACGGCTGATGGTGAAATGTTCATGTGTGACTAGAGTCAACTGGAACATCTTTTTGCCAATGATAACAGTAATATCACCCAAGATAATTAATGAGATTAGGGTAAAAGAGGTATCTTATTCCTACTGAAAAAACTATTTATTGTATTTTATTTTCACTTTTTACAAGTGCATACTGAATACACAATCCCTGATTCAACAACCACACTTTTTTTTCAAGCTGTAAAATCTGAAGCAAAGCCAATAAGTACAAAAATATGAATCTTAAAATTGTATTCTGATATTTGTGTTACAAACTTTAGAACTGATAGACCTGTTAAACTGAAATATCAGCCTTTCAACAGCAAGCACTAGCTATAAGCTGAACTATTTTAGTAACTGTAAACATAATAAAAATCCTTATGATGAATCTCTGAAAAGTTCATTTGATGAAACTCATAAGAAATACACTGAATTCAAAGGAATGAATAATCCTGCATTACTGATAAGAGCTAACTAATTTTTTTTCAAGTGACAAGAAGAAGCCATGTTTTGTTATGGAAGTAACAATACAAAATAAAAGCCTAGAAAAATATCAAGATCTCTGCAACTGAAGTTCATTCTTCTGAACTGATAAAAATGCTTCCAAATTGAAAGTATATTGAAGACCCTTTTCAAGACTGTACATTTGTTCTTGTGGCAATATAGGAGTTGCTTAATTACTGACATATTTTAGTGAAAGGGTGTCCTGGTTTCAGCTGGGATAGAGTTAATTGTCCTCCTAGTAGCTGGTATAGTGCTATGTTTTGAGTTCAGTATGAGAAGAATGTTGATAACACACTGATGTTTTCAGTTGTTGCTGAGTAGTGTTTAGTCTAAAGTCCAGGATTTTTCAGCTTCTCATGCCCAGCCAGCAAGAAGGCTGGAGGGGCACAAGGAGTTGGGAGGGGACAGAGCCAGGGCAGCTGATCCAAAGTGACCAAAGGGGTATTTCATACCACGTGATGTCACATCTAGTATAGGAACTGGGGGTACTGGGGGTGGGGGATTGCCGCTTAGGGACTAACTGATTGTCGATCAGTGGGTGGTGAGCAATTGCACTGTGCAATTTGTACATTCCAATCCTTTTATTATTACTGTTGTCATTTTATTAGTATTATCATTATCATTATTAGTTTCTTCTTTTCTGTTCTATTAAACCATTCTTATCTCAACCCACGAGTTTTCCTTTTTTTCCTGATTTTCTCCCCCATCCCACTGGGTTGGGGGACCATGAGTGAGCGGCTGCGTGGTGCTTAGTTGCTGGCTGGGGTTAAACCATGACAAAGGGTCAGTTTATAACTGTGAATTATCAGGATTTATACTTCAGTCTGACAAGTAAGCTACTTGGGGCTTGGTTAGCTGCTCAGTCTCAGATGAGGAAAAGGATTAGCTTTAACTTGGGTCAAAATTTCAACATTGAATCTTTTGGGCCACAATAGAGAAGAAACATATTATGCTTATTTGACCTAATTAAAGTGAAGAAAAGTATGTAATAATTTCCTGAAAGCACTGGCAATAGGAGGTGGCTACTTATTTCAGCAATGCTGAAGGTGTGTTTGTAATTCAGAGAACCAAGTTTTCATGATAGTGTGAGACAGTAAAATGTGAAAAGGTGCAGTTGTAGAGGAAGTGTATATTAGCAAAGAGGTGTAAAACAGTTCCTCTTCTTTGGATGACCTTTCATGCAAATGCCATTTTTATTGAGTAAGCATGGAACAATACAATAATAACTTTTCTTAGCAACACAAGATTAGTGAATGAAGCAGATTAATCACAAGCATTTTAGTTACTTTTAACTATATTAGCATCAATTGTCAATATGCTGCTGCAGTCCATCCAGATGGCTGAATCCTGTGCTTAGTGTTCTGCTGAAGCAGGCTTGCTTTTTGCAGAAATCATGCCAAGATTCTCAACAAGTAAATTCAATTCTGGAGATGTTCCAGAAGACAATCAAACTTTGACTATGTGACCATTAGCAACTATTGTGGTGAAGTAGGCATAGCTCTGTGCAGTAAGACAGTGTAGATGATATCCCTGCATTTGGGGTAGGAAGGGAATGCTTACTTGAAACTAGTTCTAGTTTGGTCCTGTAGGTTCAAAAACCTTATAGTGATTAGGATACATCAGGTGTGTTACTTGAGCACACCTTCTGGTTTAATTTAATCCAAAAAGAATCCAGTTTAACGTGCTTAAATAATGTCAAGATGTGAACCAATGTGTGTCCACTAGTGGGAATGATCAGGAGGTACACTTCTCACTCCTGTGAGCTAAATGGGAATGTGAATGCACCAATCTAGTAAACACACTGATATCTCTAGTGTGTTAAACACCGTTTTCTGTGGTTAAAGGCATGAATGGTAAATGCAGTTGTTCAAGTTATACTAGTCTGAATCTGTGACAATAGCATGGATAACTTAAGCTCTGGATGTCAGCCATTTGTTTTTTTTAAAAGGTGCACCTGCTGTTATAACAATAGTTCAAGTAAAAGCTTCACTTGTTCTAGGTATATTTGTTTTGATTAAAAAGTTATGGGCGTTATGTCTTCCTGAAGTGATCTTGCTTAACCAAGCACTATTTAATCTAGCTGTGCAGTGTAATCATGTACACATGATCACATTTCAGAAATCATCTTAGTGAATCAAGTCAGTGTGCTTACTAGCTATTTTTGCGTGTGTTCAGCTTAGTATGTGGTTACTTGCTTTTTCTGTTGGAAGAATGTTTCTTAATGGATCATGTGGAGCTCTGCGAAAGTGAGTTGGCTATAGATGCAGCTTAATGCTATTTTAATAGCAGAGATTTTAACCTTCTGTTGAGATTATGTTCTCCTTTGGTTTATGTCCTTATTAAATATCTAGATAATTCTCTTGGATTTAAAGGAACAAAACATATGAATAAACACGTTCCGGTTTTATGCTTCTATTTACTAGTTATGATCAGTGTGGCTAGTCTCAGGTCTTTGCTCTTAACCTGCCTTGGAAACTGAGAGCTAAGATGTCACTCTATTCTCTGATAAAGTAACATCTGTCCACCGATGACAGCTCCGTCAACCTTTTCTGTACCTGTTTTCTTCAGTTAGGCAAGTTAAGAATTATCAGCAATGGAATGTTCTTGTTTGTATTCTTTTTAGTTCTCTGTAGCAAATACTAAATGTGCCTCTCTCTCCCTGGGAAGTATGTAGGTCTTCTCTGCTAATGAGATTTCACACGTTAAAGCATACTGATAAGAGCACAGTAGAGCTAAGATTATACATCTCAAGTTGTTCCTGTTGCTAGGAAGTGATGAACCTGCTATCTAATGTGCAGATTTTTCTTCTGGAACTATCCAATGTATCCTGTTAAAGTTTTCCTAAATCAGAGCCATTAAATTAATTTCTCACTCGTTAGGTCTAAAATCTAGAGCACATTAATACTTTGAGTGAGCTTAAAAAAATACTTTCATAGTCGAATTAACATAAAATGGTAAATATACTCATTTTTCTGTAGTACACAAGGTATTTTCCCTCTGCTGTAGTACTTATCTGCAACATAATTTAGAAGATAGTTCTGATTGCTTTGTTAATTTTCCTTAAATATCAGATGATTTTGGGCAAGCTCTCAATTTTTCTTCCCTGTTCCCTAATTTGATGATTGTCATCCCAAGTCTTATTGCCTTTGCAATGAAATTTTTCCTTGCGATGTACTATTTTGAGCACAGATTTTTGTAACAGTGGGAATTATTATCTGTGACTAATAACAATCTCTAAGGGGCTTGTTATACAATGAAGACTGATCATGTGCTTGAATATATTCCTGATTGCTCGCAGCTATGAGTAGCTTAACTTTCTGAAAGTTCTGCCTTATCAAAAGAGGTGCAAAACTGATTTTTTTTCCCTACTGGAATAAGGTAAATGATTTAAACTACTGCTATCTTAACTCATGTTCAATAACACTTAGATGAACTTCCACACAACAGTCTAGAAAAATGTACAAATTAACAGAGGTTAAGCTGGTCCTTGAACTGTTTTAACAGAATTTTAATTGTCGTTTGAATGGACCTTTATATAGCTAAACGGTGTTTCTAAAGGAACATTTCTTGGTAAGTGCCCCATTGGTGTGCAAATAATAAGATACCAGTAGTGAAGGTCTTACTTGGAACCCCATTTATTTATTTATTTATTTATTTATTTTTGAACAACTCTTATTTGTTTGGTACAAATGTTTTGAGAATTAGGTACCCTTCTTGGCACAGTGTGGAGGTTTCTAAAATAGTTGGGGCTTTGCGGGAAGGTCAGAGTCAGGATGTTCTCTGGTGATATGGCTGCATTTCATATTCTAATACCCACTCAAGAATTTGTATTGGAGAAAACTTGAAGGCAAGGTAATCTTGGGTAAGGGTATAGGACTGGTTGTTGTGTAAGCATGAGGTTTATTGCTTATCTTGTTTTCTGTTGATTTATGTATGTAACAGTATTTACTCCTTAGCTAGCCATACTATATATAAAATAAAAACCAACAATCAAAAACCCACACCAACCAAGCAAACAATACCCACAAAAACCAACCTGTGGATGGCATGGTCCATTCTATCTGTCATGTAAACAATCCTGTATTAGTTGTATTGAAAACAGAGCTTCAAATGGTAATGTCTTGAAAACAGAAAGCTTTCCTTTCATGGACTTAAGCTAACTGGTTTATTAACAAATGCAAAATATAGCCATAGCTTGTTCAGACTTTACTAGCATTGCTTATTACTCAAGGAATGCTGTATAATTGAATAGAGTGTTGTATTTTATAATAGCGTGACTAAACTATAATTGCCAGGTTGTCGTTTTCCCC